AACAATGGAGCTAACATACCACTGGCTCCTGGACTAGGAAGAATCAACTATCGTGAAAATGGCCATACTGCCCAAGCGTAACTTTTATAGTTCAATGCAATTCCCCAATCCAAGCTACCAATGAGCTTTTCTTCTCTAGAAATCAAAAAAAGCTGCTTTAAAGTTCACATGGAACGCAAAACAAGCAGACCCGCTCCTCCAAGACATCCTAAGTCAAAAGAACAAAGCTGAGCATCCGCTACCCCCTGACCTTTCAAATAGCACTTACCACGCGCTACAGTAACCAAACAGCTCATTGGTACTGCGTACCCAAAACAGAGATATCAGACAATCGGACACGAACAGAGCCTCAGCACTAATACCTACACATCTAACAGCCCATCCCCGATCTCTTGAGCAAACCCCTGACGAGAAACACAAGAAACTGGGGAAAGGATTCCCTAATTTAATACAATGGTGCTGGAACATTTGGCTCCCACCTAAGTTCAGAAAGCTGAAACGATCCTTCCTTACTCTCCTTATACCAAAACTTACAATTCCAACAGACTTCAGCAGCGACCTAAATGCTAGACCTATACACTAAACAATCTATGAGAACCTAGGTACCTACATTCAGGACTAGTCCCACCTGGGACACCAGCATGGCACAAGTATACATATGTAACAAACCTGCACGTTATGCACATGTACCCTACAACTTAAAGTATAATAATAATAAATAAATTTAAAAAAAAATTCATACCTCATATTAAAGACCAAATAATCCTACAGTAAAGAAAGAAATCTTGCTTAATTTTGTTTAGCTCAGGTTTTCCTGACTTTATTTAATCAGAGAGCCCTTTCCTCATTTAATAATAAGCAACACATACTGCATATTAAGTGCCTGGCACTATTCTATGCTCTACATAAACTAACTTATTTAATCCTCACAACAAGCCTAATGGGGTAGGTAGTACAGCAGAAAAAAGTTAAATGCCTTTCCCAATGTCACGTGGCTAGGAAGTAGAGGGCTGGGGTTTGACCCGTGATAGTCTGCCTCTAGAATCTGCCTCTTCACCATCAGGCTATACTACTGCTTCTGTTGAACTAGCAGAACCCAAGAAACTCATGCTCCCTGGAATTCTTATTGGCAAATGTTGACATAAGATAATTTGTACCTATACAAAAAGGAAAAGAAAGGATTACACTGAAAAAAGTGTGAGGAAATGGACAAAAATCCCAACAGTTAACTCAGTTGTGTTTTGTTGGCAGGACCAAGATTTCTTTTTTTCCTTTAAAATGTTTTTATTGTTCAGCCCTCCCTTCGATAAATAGGGGTAGTTAACATTTACTGAATGCTTATTCTATGTAAGATACAATGCTAAGTGCTTTACATGCATTAAATCATGAAATCTTTGTCGCTTTGAAATGGGACACTATTATCTCCATTCTGCAGATGAGGAAACTGAGGCTTAGATGTCAGTGTTCTTAAAATATGGCCCATGAAATAAAAATGATTTTCATAATGAAACTATTTCTTTTTACCGTGCTGGCTTTTGCATGATCATAAAAAAGCTATGGTGAAACTTTTGCACTGATCATAGAAAAGCTATGGTGGTAAAAACTGCCAGCTCTTGGCACAAATGAAGGCAGCAGTAATGCTGTACTGTAGAATCAGTGATTCCTCACTCCATGTTTTAAAAAATCAGTTTAAATTAAGAATGCCCTCGATGATGCAGTAAAAAGTGTTAACTTGATTAAATATCAACCTTTGATGGAGGTCTCATTAACATAACGAGGAGTGATGACACAGGAGGTGCATACGGAGCTCTGTGCTGCACAACCAAGTGCAATGACTGTCTCAAGAAAAAGTGCTTACGATGAAATTGTTTGAATCATGAACATTTTCACAAAACACTGTTATTACTTGAAAGAATAACTAAGCAACTGTCACTCAGCATTGGGTATTTGTCAGGCATTTTCTCAAAAATATCTTAAATGAGCCTGTCACTTGAAGGAAGAGAACTGATAGAGTATTTACTGCCACTGATGATACCTGACCTTTCAAATAAAACTGACAGCTTTGGAAAACTTCCACCCCCAGGAGCTTGACATCTTCCCACTGTTTAAAGACTTTTCTGATGAGACGCCTGGTGATATTAATATATGTCAGTAATTTTCTCTAATTAACTTAGCACAAACTCAATGCAAGGCAGAAAGATTAAAAGGGAGGTTTGCTAGAAGCTTTTGAAAAAGAAGATTGCTCCTACTTGAGGGAATGCTTCCAGAGGCCAACCACTCTCTTTCTGAGCAGTATGACCTGTGGATATAAAGCCTGGAACTGCTCCAGTGATTCTGACCTCAAAGGGAAGCCAACCTCAAGATGGAGCAAACAGTGCAGAAGGCAGAGAAGAGATGGAAGAAACTATGGCACAGGCAACTTCAATAAGCAGCTGAATTAAATCACTCCTGAAACCCATCCCACCTCTGAACCACCCAATACACACTCTTAAATGTTGAAACCAATTTGAATCGGGTATTATGTTACTTACAATATAAAAACTCCTAATTTGAGGCATACTGCTAAATCAAAATTTCAAAACCAAATATGAATGTAATACTCTTATAATTAAAGAAGAACTTCTACTAGGAAAATCCACATTGAGTTTATATAGTTTCGTATGGAAATAACATTATTTTAAATTACCTTTTCAGTGTTCTTGTATTTTTCCCATCCTTTCAGCATTTTCAGCCATTTGGTAGTTCTTTCAATCTCCAGGTGCTTTTGCTAAAATGAAATTGAAATTCATTGTTATTGTTCGTTTCTTATAAATTATAAAAAACTTCAAAGAAAATGCTGCTAAAAAAAGAACTAAAAAGTTATGCTATATTAGCAGATACCCTATCTAACTTTTAAAAAGTTGGATAATCTCAGAACTGTATCAATACTAGTCCATAGCTAAAGTTAAGATTAATAGGAAATGCTCTATCTAGGTAAAAAGATAAAGATATTATTTAAATTTTCCAAGACTTTAAAAGTAACCAAAATATTGTGTATTCTACAAATTTAAACAAAAAAAATTTTTAATATTTTGAAATATTTTACAAAGGAACAAAAACACAACTTTGAAATTTAATTATCTTATTTTACTGAATTCTAGTATATTGACATTTTTAGTGAGAGTTAGTTTTTTAAAAGCAAAAGTGGCTGTTTATTTATTTATGGAAAGATTAATGTGTAATGAGTCTTATGCTAAAGGAAAACTATTTAAAAAAATACTAAGTACTAGTTGCTGCCCTAAGGAAATTTGACCAGGTGCTAAGGACAATGGACAAGGAACACACTGCATTGTAGCAGGCACTGGTACTGGCAGGAAGGGCCACGCAGAAGGGGCAGTCAAATCCACCTAGGCATGCCAGAGAAAATGATCCCAAAATGAGGAACAGTGAGATTATTAGGGTGGGAATGTGGGAATGCAATGTGGGAAAGAATGTTCTAGGCGGCCGTGAGAATGCGTGTATTTTTGAGACAGCAGGGGCCGACAGCAGCTCCAAAGGGTTTACAAAAGCATCAGGACACCAGGCTGCCAAAGTTGGGGGAGGTCTCTTGCGTGCGCACTCAAGTGAAATTCAGGGGCAAGGCTGGGGAATGGGGAAAGTAAGATGGAAAATGCTCACTCTTCACTTCTTTGGCTTCCAGGAGAAGGAATATTTTTTCCTAAGTACCTGAGCCCATGAGTGTAGTAAGTATATGAATAAAAAGCAATGGAAATACAAGTCTACCCAGAAAAGGAAATCATTCTGAGGACACATTTTATGCTCAAGGATGCACGCTCACTGCCACCCCACGAGGTAGGTATGATCGTCACCATTTTACAATGAGGAAACAGAGGCATAAAGGGCTTAAGGGATTTGTCCCAAGTCACCCCTCTAGTAAGTGGTAGAAGACGGATTCAAAGCCAGGCAGCCTGGCTCCAGGACATACACTCCGAGCCACCACATCTCTGGCTCCCATCCTGTCCTCTGCCCTAGTTCAGGCAATCATCATTCCTGGATGGAAGCAGCAGCTCCTTACTGACTGTCTGCAATCCAGCCTCAAACAGGCAGGCATTATGCTGGCAGATGGCATATATGCCTCACCACTAATATTTTTAGACCTAAAAGCAGCAGAAAATTCCAAAGAAAATCCTGAATTTAGGAAAAGTATCTCACCAATGAGAACATTTTTATAGAATTTCAATTTTAGGCATATTCTTAAAACTCTTAAATTACCTCTTTTTACAATTTTTGTATGGGTTTCTCACAAAAGATGAGCACTCATGAGCAAAAGATATTATTTTATAATTCACATTTTTCAAAAGGCTAAGCATATTCCTCATTATATTATTAGTGATAAAATGTTGCAGATGGTTCCAGAAATATGTTTAATTTTAAAACTCAGTGGGGCACTGAAATCTAATTAATGTTTCTGCTAAATGTGACTTTAGAGAAGGCCAAGCTGTGAAAAATTAAGATTGATCTAAATCACCATTTGGTATTTTTTGTTCTTCTGCACTTTCTCCCCTGACTTCTTTAAAGCATAATCCTTTTTTCCACAAACAGGAAAACACCAAATAGTTCAAGTCAACCCAAGAGTATAATAACATACACTTTGCCAGGAACAACCCTGCTGAGATCTTGCAGGTCTCTTGCTATCTTTCATTTTTATGACCATGAATTATCAATGAATAACTTTAGGAAGTAGTCATTTTTTTAAAGGCACACTTTTGCATTCTGATGATTATCATATATACAGATTATTTTAAATGCTATATATTCCCACACTGCAAGAACAAAACACACACATACAAAAAAAAAAATTTAAGGATCATTAAGTATGCTTTCTTTCCTCTACAGGAAAAAAATAGAATAAAATAATATATATTTTATACAATATATAATACATATTACATATAATATCTAATTATACATAATACATAATTATCTTATATATTATATATAATTATATATCTTATATAAAATAAATACATAAAATATATAAAGTATATATGATATAATATATAATATATAAAATATATATTTTATATATATACACACACACCCCTTGGGAAGCTACAGAATTCTAAAATTATGTATCAGTATTCAATCAAGTTTAAGTGTTAACTCCATAATGCTGTCCATTTAATAATACCAAACTTGAATGCACATGACAGTCTTTTTCCCCCAATCATGAATCTATAATTCATAGATGAAATATACTTTCTCACCAAAGATGCTGAAGCTAACTATTCTAGCAACTGTTTTGAAGAAGTAACTGAAAACATACTCACATATGACAAATGTGAACTTAAGTGCCCCAGAAAAATAAGCTAAGGAATGCCATCTTGCCACAGACTCAATCACAACAAGACAAAACTGGAATATAATAGTGTATTAGAAACTCCACTTCAAGTTCAACAGAGACTTTAAAGTCGACAATAACTGAAACTATTTTCCCAAATATGCTGCTAGTATGCTTCTGTCCCTGACATGAACTAACACCATCACTACCCACTAAGTCCTCCTTTTCTCTCACTTCCCACCCCCAAATCACACTCTGCTGGGTCCATGTTGTGTCTCCTGCTTCCATCCTGTCCTCTGCCCCAGTTCAGGTAATCGGAGTTCCTGGATGAAAACAGAAGCTCCCTGCTGGGATCCTTGTCTTCACTCCGGCCTCCACACTGCTACCACAACCCTTCACACATGTCCCACAACCCTTCAATGGCTACCCATTTTCTAGAAGTAAAGTTTAAATTTATTAGCATAGCACACATGAGTAGCCTTTCAGAATGCGGCCCCAATTCACCTTCTAGTTCTATCTCCTGCTACTTCTGTGATCTGGCCACCCTGAACTATTTGTCATTCCCATACACAATGCATTTTCAGCCTTTGTGACAAATGTTTCCTATTTGTCTCCCTGTGATTTTCTCACCATCATCTGGTAAAATCCTACGCATCCTCTCAAGACCTAGGTCAAATGTCCAATGCCTGGAACCTTTCCCAGTTCTCTCCATGTTCCAAGCATGTTCCAAGGAACAAAACCAACTGTTCCCTTAGCATTCCATGGCATGGATTCAAGACCCAGATGTCCTGGGTTCAAATCTGAGTTCTGTCCCATGCTGTTTCATTTGGGGGCAAACTACTTAATCTTTCTGCACCTTAATTGTCTCATCTATAAAATGAGAATATTTTGATCATTGTTACAGCACCTAACATCTGTGTTCTAGTTGGCTTAAATGCCCAGACTGTATTATCAATGTATGAACTCCTTGACTATATAGAGACTGGTATGTTCATGTTTTTATCACCTAAAACAGTGGTTGTTATATAAGAAAAGTTAAACATTTAAAAATTAAACAGAATTTACATAAGAAAAAAAAAACTGAACACTATGAAGGAATTAATAACATTCTGTGGTCCAAGGTGGAAGGGTGGGAAGTAGAATGAATATGAACAGACAGACTGAAGCCAGAATGTTATTTCTGATAGCAATGTGATCGCTGTAATACAGAAGTAACCAGAAGTTAATAATATCCCATATGTGGCAGAATAGTAGAAATGGAATTATTCCATCATGTGGGTAACACTTTTCAAAGTGTTGCCAAAAGGCAGAGCTGCTGATGTTAACAGCCTGTGTGAAACTGATATCAAATAATTCTGTTGGCTTCATACACAAACATCTTACTTCTCTCAATTTGTATTTTGAAATATTTCAAACCTACAGAAAAGTTGAGAGAATAGCATGTCACATACTTATAAATGCTTCATGAGATTCACAGATTATTAACCCTTTGCTAGATTTCATTTATACTGTCTGGGTTTTTAGGGGGAACCGATCATTAGAAAATCATGACATGAATAGTTCATCCCTAAATATTTCCAGTATGTATTGCCTAAGAACGAAAACACATTATCCTCCATGATTCCAGTACCATTATATCCAAGAAATGTAAAACTGATTATTACCTCACAAAGCGCCCATACACCAAATTCCCCACTTGTCCCAAGACTGTCCTTTACAGCTGTTTTTTTCTGTGGTGTGGGCAACTCGGAATCCAATCATGCATTCTGCATTGCCTTTGCTGGCATGTCCCCAAAGTGCCCTGGCCTCTGTCTTCGATGACACTGACGTTTTGAAGAGTCCAGGCCACACTATCTGGCTTTGTGTGATTGGCTCCTCTGGATTTTAGCAGGATTATCACCCAATTATGTTGTCTTTCCCACCACATCATATCAGATGCACATGATGCCAAGCTGTACCACTTTCAATGATGATGCTACAGTTTCATCATTCAGTAAAGGTATTTGCCCAATTTTTCCATTAATAGAGAAATTCCCTTTTGTAACTAATAAATAATCCATGTGATATACTTTGAGACAGGGTGCATGTCGCGTTCCTTAATAACTCTACCCAATGGTCTCATCATCCATTGATGATCCCTACCTGAATCAATTATGGCTGTGATGGTGGTAAAATGGTGTTTGGGTTTTTTTTTCTATCACTCCTTCTATATTATTAAATGACATTATTAACTTTGGACATTAAAAAGTTTCTTTTCTAGCTCCTCCCCTTTCAATATCACTATAGTCTAAAGAATTATTTGATTTCATGTATTATAATTCATTATCATCATTATTCTTTTTGAATCTCAAACTGTCCCCTGGGAGGTGGGTTAGACTACTTCCCGTCTGAGTGGTAATTTCTCCCCTTCAAATTTGTCCTTTTGATATGCCCTATTTGTCTTTTACCATTTCTTAGTGTTCTGGTACAAAATGATTTTGGCCCACCTTATACTCTCCCTATCCCAACCTGGAATCAGCCATCAGTTCAAGAATCTGTGATTCCCTTTAGTGGAGAGGATGTTCAAAACTAAATTTTGGGCACTGGATGTGCTTCTCACCAGTGAAATTTTTAAAATTGTGTAGAAGATCCTGACATAAGAAAATTCTACTTCTCTCAGAATGTCAGAGCTAACATGCAGTCAAGGAACATAATGCAAAGGCCATCATCTCCACCTCTACTCCCTCTGCTATCTCTCCATTACCTCTCTTGGCTAAGAACATGCTACACTGCCGTATACTTTTCTTCCCATGAGCTGTTTTCAGGGAAGAGCTAAACTTCTGTTTAAAGTTTATGATATAATACCCTATTGTCTTAAGTTGATGTTGCCTCTAAGTCAGAACTGGCCTCCCCTACTGGGGCAAGGAGGGTGGAAGGATTAAAACTGGGACCAATATCTTCTTTGTTACCTCTCAACCTCCAGTGATCTGAGACTACATTTTCAACCCTGTACAGGACCAGCTGAACAGTAAGTACTCAATAATCATTTGTTGAATCATCTACATAGCTTTGTGTTCTATCTGGTCCCAGGCCCTTCCCACTATTAACATGGCTAATAATTCAGATAGTAAAGGCTAGACACATACACAATTCATGGATGGATATTACATAGCCTTCTCCGTAGAATAAGAAATCTTGGGATTTGCCCAGATTCAAGTCTTCAGATGCTTTAATGGCTCTATTTGAACATTAGTGTGTATTGTGATATAATAAGAACTATATGATCTCTACCCCCAGTTCCCTCTTGGAGGTCGTGGGAACTTCTAATTTATAGCCCCTCACAGGTGATAACCTGAGGCTTTCAACTGACTTCGGATGTGACAGGCAATCTTATGGAAGTGAGCTCTTAACCTGTGAGGTCTGCACCTACTCTGGTTAGTGGCAGAACTGAGTTAAATTGTAGAAAATACATTTATGTCCACTTGGCGAAAAACCAACACATATCTTGGTAACCAGAAGTATTCTGTGCTGTGTCAAGTATGAGAGTAGGAAAAACAGTTTGGTTTTTCCCTATCTTACAGTTTGTTTTTCGTTTCAGTTAGGACTCGTGAGTGGGGACAAAGTTGATGGGAGTCAGGCATGCCTAGACCTCACCAGCAGAGGTCAGAAGAAGACAGGAAGTACAAAAAGAAATGTGTCTGTTTTTACAGAACACCCTGACATTGGAAAGTCTGTCAGTCATGTATCTTGAGTAAGATTTCATACTACATTAAGACTTTTTTAAGATATAAATAGGTTCCAATATTCTATACACAATGCAAAAGATTGCACTACATGAAGGGATAGCTGAATCTATGAAAATACATAGTTTTACATATCTGTTCCTCCTTATTAAAATCATCAATAAGCTCAATGAAACAATATAATCCATTATTAATACTGTTCTCTACAGAGTAAATATAATGTTTATGTGCTTAAGTGCCTGTTTGGGGGAAACCAAAGCACTTAGTAAACACCAATACTAATGCTCTTAGGAAGGACTGTATACTACTCTTCCTATTTTAAACAGAGAACTGCCTTATGTAAAATAATACATTGGCAAAGCTGGAAGGAAAGCTGTGATTACCTGACTATGTACTAGTGTATAAGTCTTCCCCAATGGAAATAAGAGCATGCTTCAAGTGTATGCTCTGTAAAGACTACAGACCAGCAAGACTATCATTTCTAGATTTTATTCCATTTTTAAAATGTAAACTTTTTTTTTATTCATTTCCTGGAAATAGTAGAACTTGGCTACTAGGACTAGGCAGTCACCATAGAACACAAGAACTTAACTCAAACCTGAAGAACTTGGGGGAAATCCTGATAAACTAAGAGGTTTCCAGTCTTAGACTGTTTTGAATGTGGCTAAGTTCTCATTCCACTTTAAAGAAACCGAAATTGTAAAAGGCAGTATGTCATATTAGTGCAGTTTCCGTACAAAAGGCCTTAGGGAAACCCAATCAACAGACTCTGAATCCTGTCCCCACCCCCAAATAAAAGATTGATAAGTGAATATAAAGTTATATCTTATTTTAAAATAAATTACTAAGGTATGCATAGGTCATTTTTTAGTGACTCCTCATTAAACTAAACTTTTTGGAGAAAACAATCAATTAATTATAAGCCTAATTGCATTAAGAGGTCATTTACTGTATAGGCATGTCTCTTAAAAAACTAATAAAAAATTTTGAAAAACAATATTCCTCAAGCTTGCATCTCCTGTCTGGTATTTCTTCTTTTCTTTACTGCCCCATTTATTGAATCATTTAAATCACTGATCTGAAGACTTTCAAACTTTCTGGACCATGAAATTACAAAAGGGGGAGGGGAGTGTTGGAGAGAGAAGTCAATATTGGATTGCCAGATTTTTATCTTGCCAAATGTGGATATCTTTTGTTAAAGATATCTTCCAACTCTTCCTGATTTCTCAAATAAAAGACACTGTAACACTTGAAGGGACAAACTTTGCCAGTCTTTATGTCAATATATTTAATTTTATAAAGAACTCATTACATTAATTCAGCCCAAAAGAGAGATCATAGTCAGAGGGTGGGAACAAATCCTTATGTTCCTATTCAAGACGAACTGCCACAAAGTTCACAGGGGCAGCATTACTAAGTTCTCACCATTAGTCATTACTTCCTTCTCAGCCATTCCTCAGCAACAAAGAATCTGCCTTTCCCCTCCACCTGCACTACCACTACATTTCACATATACTGTGGCCCCAGCAAGCCACCAGTCATCTCCTACCTGTTGTCATACTGGATCTTCCTGTAGTCACTGGATGTGAGCTTCTCTAAGGCAGAAACTATGTCTTATTTAATCCTAGCATTCTATGCAGAACTAGGCCAGTGCTTGATACACAGTTGCTATTCAATAATGTAGATATTAAAAGAAAGATATTCATTTGCTGAAACCTCTAGGTTATGATACTGAGAGAGAACCAAGCAGTCACAAAAGAATTCAACTGCAGATCTGCCTGTAGGGTTCTCTATATACGTAAAATGGCAATTTCATCTACATCTTAAGGTTTTGCTACAGTTTTGATTTTCAGAAAAGTTTGATATCAGGAAGATTTTCTAAAATATTTTTCATATTCCAATTCCAATTTCACCTTCATTATCTGAAATTCAGCCCCTTGTCCTCATCAAACATATATGAACTGATAAAAATCCCAGTCAATACCCCCACTTTCATTCTACAGTTCATTTTTTGGTACAGAAAAAGTGGGGACGAGAAGAGAGATTTCAAGCAACCTTAAAACATTCCATCACTACTTCAAAGGCATGCCTGGGTGTGGAACCAGTTCCTTGCTATGCATAACAAGGAAAGATTTTAAAATGTTGACAAGTTTACTATGTAACACTTCTCTAAGTACTTAAAATACTAAAATACCCACAGAAAATGATTTTGGTTCTTGTAAGAAATTTACTAAAATCTCATGGAACAGTCATGTTTCAAAGACCTGCTGGTCTAGAATGGTGCTTTATTTGCCACAGGGTACATGAGAATCACTTGCGAAGCCTTTAAAAATTACCTACCAAGAGGCTCCTCCCCAGAGAGGCTGATTTCATAGACTGAGGGGGGACCTGGGCAGCTGTGCTCTCAAAGCCTCTCAAAACCTAGATTGGGACCTGCCAGTCTAGAATGAAGTCTTTCAAGCACCTATCAGAATCTCCTAAAATCTCCTAAAATTATTTCACCATTATTACTATCTTACAGTGACATAATGAGGTCCAAAATCTAACAATGACTGTACCATTTCCATATAATATGGCACTTAAAATCACAAAGGTGGTCAATTCTATTCTTCTAACAAAGGCAATTCACCAGTAACTGTAAATAAATCAAGAGTGGGACTTACCCGTTCCACAGCTGCATTATGATCTGGGAGTTCCTCCTCACTGCAGAGGAAAAATAGTATTATATGAAATTGTTGAAATCAAAACAAACTTTTAAAAGCTCATACACTTATAGGTACATATGATATACAATACTTATTTGTCATGTCAAGAGGTACATAAGTTTCCATTCGCTGAATTCAATATGAAACGATAGCTACTCTAGAACCACAAGACACCCCCATCTTCAAAATCCAGCCCTGAACTGTCAAATACAGTAGCCACAAGACACATTTATTAATAAAAAAAATCTATTTAACATTAAAATTTAATTCACTTTAACACTGAGTTAGTCTCACTAGGCACAGTTCAAGTGCATGAATGTCACGTAGCTAAAAGCTACCATATTGAATGGTACAAATATAGACCATTTCCATCACTGCAGAAAGGTCCACTGGACAGCAATGCTCCAGACTAGGAGTGAGCAAACTTATTCTAGCAGGATAAATATTTAAACAGTAAGTATTTGAGGCTTTCTGGGCCATACCATCTTTTTCACAACTATTCAGCTCTGATGTCATAGTACAAAAGCAACCACAGACACTACGTAAATCAAGTGTGGCTCTGTTCCCACAAAACTTTTACAAAAATAGGTGGTGAGCTGGATCTGGTCCACAGGCCACAGCTTGCCACCCTCTGCTTTAGACCACCACCTCCACTCTTGGTTCAAACTACGGTCTATAATCAATGATTGTTTAAAAAAATAGCATAAGGAACAAACTGCCTCCAACAGACTTGTGAATTTAAAGAAAAAACTTTATTCAGTACAATAAAGAATGCTTGGCTGGGTGTGGTGTCTCACACCTGTAATCCCAACACTTTGGGAGGCTGAGGCAGGCAGATCACCTGAAGTCAGAAGTTCAAGACCAACCTGCCCAACATGGTGAAACCCCATTCCTGCTAAAAATACAAAAATTAAACAGGCATGGTGGCAGGTACCTGTAATCCCAGCTACCTGGGAGGCTGAGACAGGAGAATCGCTTGAACCCAGAAAGTGGAAGTTGCAGTGAGTTGAGACCGCACACACTGCACTCCAGCCTGGGCAAGAAGAGCAAAATTCCATCTCCAAAAAAAAAAAGGAAGAAAAATGCTTCACTGTCAAAATTTCAAGAGATTATTTTTTAAATACACACTAAAAGATCAAATTCATTTCTGATATATTTGTGGTATTATCTCTAATACAGAATATTCTGAGATTCTTGTATTAACTGTCAGTAATATAAAAACCACATGCTATTCATAAACAAAGTTATGCACTTTGAGTAGCCTTCTCAGTAGTACTGTTTTGGCAACACTATGTTTATATTTTTGCCTTAGTTTCTCGTGAGATCAAATAATATACTACCTTAAAGAGCATAATAGAGCAGTATTCACCAGTTCGGTATTTTCAAAGGCATTCTTTTTCTACTATGAGGAGTCCTTAGGTGAACGATTACAACTGCCACAAAACTAACAAAAAAGAGTAACAGCCAAAAGAGATCTTAGAGAGTCCAAATCTTTCATTTCACAGATAATAAAACTAGTATTTTCACTTAGTCACTCAGCCTAACAGAAAGATGTTTAGCACTAATTCAGTGGGTTCAACTTCAGACAGACAAGATCTTAGACCATGCAGCAGTATATGAAGAAAAGGGATGGAGGCTGAGAAAACAATTCTCAAGAAGAAACAAAACTGATTAAAAATAGAAGAGTCTTCAGATCTCACAGATGGATGACAGAGCAAGTATGTGGTCCAGCTTTCCTATACAGATGTTCTGGCATGGTTTCTCCATGTCTAAAACTTTTCGTGGAGAATCTGCTGTGTGCATACCAATCTCCACAGAGCTCTTCCCCCTCAAGTCTCTGTGCCAGCATAGGCTTAAATTTCACACCCTTTTGAGGATGACGCTGCTGCTGCTTACCAAGAGCTCCCTGTAATGTCCAGAACATGCACGTTGGCATGCGGGAGGAGCTCAGTAAATGGTGCTGAATGAAGGTATGAACAGGAGGATGAACATATACCTGCAGGCATGGATGCATCCTTACCATGCCTCCTAAATATCCTTCAAGTGGAAGAGAAAAAAGAAGGACCACAATCTGGACGAATCCAGAGAATTCCTTTAGGTCAGCAAACTATGGTACATAGGCCAAATCTGGCCCACTGTGTGTTTTTGTAAAGTTTTAATGGAACACTGTCACACTCTGTCATGAATGTATTGTCTCTGGTTGTTTTCATGCTGCAACAGCAGAGTTGAGCAGTTGTGACAAAGACCGTATGACCTACAAAGCCAAAGATTCTTCATATCTGGCTCTTTACAAAAAATGTTTGACAAACCCTGCCTTAGAGAACAAGAGCTTAAGGGCACCTAAAGGGTGCTTTAAGAAAACACCAAGCTGATAGCAAGTACCTATATCTCACAGAAATACAGGAAGGGAAAACCATAAGACAGTCATCTCTGGAAAGAGAGAGACCTTAACTAGATACATTGTTTATCTACTCCTAAACTTTGAAAGTATTACTAATTAGAGTTTATGTGCCTATAACCTCTCAACAGCTAGGTGGAGTATTATGTTAACTATAAGATGAACTTTCACTGGGAAACATAAAAGTTAACTTGTTAAAATTAATAAGTTGACTATATTGACTAAATTTTATTTTTGTTTTTAAAGTAAATTTTATCTAAGTTTAAATTTAACCCAGTCAAAATTTACAGGATTGGTGGAAAGAGTTCTCAAGTCTTTGTAATCAAAATTATTATATACTATACCTATACCGGATTATATATATAATACTTGATCGATATACGTACTTATATAGTATACCAATCTTTCACCATGTTGGCCAGGCTGGTCTCGAACTCCTGATCTCGTGATCTGCCTGCCTTAGCCTCCCAAAGTGCTGGGATTACAGGCGTGAGCCAGCGTGCCTGGCCAATGATATTCTTTAAAAACAAAGACACCTTTATTCTGCATATCATATACAGTCATTTTATACAGTCATAGTAAACTACATTTATATTTTATAAATATACACATTTTGATAAGTAGCTGAAAATCTGAAGTTTGGTATTAATTTTATCTTCTTTATTTCTGGTATGACTTCCTTCTAATTCTTCTATTAATAATTTGTGATCTAAATACATTATCTTTCATTATCCAAATACCAAACATTCTTTGTTAAGTAGCCTAGCAGTGACTATTTTTGATTAAAATGTTAAAGTTCTCCAACTTCTTCCTTAAACAAGCTCTGTTTCTCCATTCTCCAGCTTTACCTCCATCATGGCACACACTGGGGAGAACACCTCACTGCTGAGTACTAAACAAACAGGTTGCTCATCTAGCAGAGCTCAGTTGGTTTGGCAACAGCTTTTATATTTATGGTGTAATCTATTCCAAAACCAAGTTGTTCTATATTTGTTAATTACTGTCACTCCATATATAATAACACGTAATTTAAGCTTCTAAAACTGTAATTAGATATAAACTCAGGCAACAAAGGTTACAAAGTTATTTTTGCCATTTTATTGTATTAACATTGACACTTAAAACCCAATTTCATTGCAGAATGAATCAAAAGGTCCAAAGAACTAAGACAGTAGAAAAAAAATGCTCTTTTGATCAAGGTGTGACAGGGAATAAGATCTAAATGCTTACACCAAGTGATTTTATTCAAAAGCGCATAAAACTCCAGTCTGTGGTGACAAGCAATAAAAACCACTAGTAACAATGTCTGGAGAAAATGTTTTACTTAAACTACTCATTGTACTAAAAATCACTGATTTTGGTGAAATGTATTAAGGTTTGATATTACCCTAATACCCATTTCTATGCTTCATTATGTTCATTTGTGTTGCCTGTTTGAGGACCGCATCATGGAGTAAATAAAATTAGTGTGATAGTATGAGAACGAGTACCAATCTACTTTATTTTTAAAAAAGCAGTGAGCTTAGCTATCTTAGTACATATCTCAATAGCAGTGTTCATTTCAAACAGTATCCTTCTCTTTGGGTCCTCGTTTTCCTCCTTTAACTTTCTTTCCAGGCATTTCAAAGCACTTGTTCTGTATTTCTCTTATTTAAAATACAAGAAAGCAGCAACAGGCAGCATACTGTAGCAGTTCAGAATGCAGGCTCTGCAGGAAGACTGCCAAAGTCCACACCCTAAAGCTGACGCTCACTGTCAATACAACGTGGGCAAGTTACTTGAACTCTGTGCTTCAGTTTCATCACCTAAAAAGAGGAAGACAAAAACAGTACCTACTCCAAAGAGCTTTTCAGGGGAATAACTGAATTATTCCATGTAAAGAGCATAGAACAGTGCTCAGCACACGGTAAGTGTACAATAAATATTAGCACTTTTTCCCCACTAGACCCAAATGGACCTTAGCACAGACAGTGAAAAAACAAATACAAAAGAACTGACTGCAATATTCAGATTGCCAAATACAGACTAGGCTCCTGGGTCAGAACCACTTATTTCACAGTTGTAATAGTTCAAATACGGTTTTATACCCAGAAATGCTTCTCAATAGACAAGAGCCAGAGAGACCAGATGCTTTCAATCACAAGTGTGGACAAATCACTGGATCCACATTTGCAGGCACATTTCATGAAATTTAGCTGGCACCTATATTCATTATTTTACAATTTCATTTTTGTATGCCTTTCAGATTTGTGAATGCAGTTTTTTTTTAAAATTCATTTTAACTTGATGTATGTTTTCAATTCCCCCAAATTAATGAACTGTGTATGTGTGATCACATGGGTGTATTTAAACGTTAATAAGGTACTTGTGCACTTAGAATTTTACATTGGAATCCAGAATGCTAAAAAGTCAAATACAGCATTTGCCAGTTAAAAAAAAAAAAAAAAAAAAACTACCTCTTGTTTCTAGGGCCCAGCTCATGTTGTTTTAAGCAATTAAGAAAAGAAAATTTAGGTAATTAATAGATCCTTTTTGGAATGCACAGGTTTCCATATGTATTTTAAACCATACTAGACCATCTTATGATTTAAAAAATAAAAATAAAAAATCTAGTACAGTTGTTCATTCCCACCAAAATCACTTGGGAAGGTCAAAATCAGCTGAGGTGTCTCCTATCTTTAGAATCAAAATCTAGGAAACCCTGGAAATCTATTTAAACAATTTCTCAGCTGATTCTAATGTGCAGGCAAGTCTGGGACCCACTGGTGTTACCAGTCTTAATGCTTAAATTGTCTTCATACCCCAGATCTGCACACTACACACAAATATGCAATCATTTCTTGTCACATTTGTAGCCAAGTTTGATTTTTTAAAGAAGTAGGGGTGGAGGTTTAATTTAAGAACAGTATTTCCATCATAGTTAAATATTGCTGTTAGTCTAGTGAAGTTCAAAGCCTTCTGATTATAGAGGTGGGAGGACTGCTTGAGGCCAGGAGTTTGAGAAACAGGGCAAGACCTGTCTCTACAAAAACAAAACAAAGTTTTCTGATTATAACTACTCAGAAGAACATTTCAGATAGCTAATGTCATTAGGTATAATAACACTTAATATTTGTCCAGAACTTTAAAAAGTATTCTTATATTTTACTTTTTCAAAGCCTCAAATACACCTGAAGGTACATAAAAAAAGGTATGTAAACTAATTCCTGCTTTAAAAATGAAGCACAAAATGTCTACATGACCAGAAAACAGCAAAGCCACAAGAAGAGCACACATTCTCCAGCTCCGGGAACTGTTTCTGTTTGTTGGCTGGTTGGTTTTACTGTCAGAAAAACATAATACAACAAAATAAATTCTAGACTCAAAGAAAAAAAAAAGGAGAAAATAAGATCAGAGGACTGTACATTACTGTGAACTATACAAAAAATGAATGTTTTTCCTTCAAAATTTAATCATGCAGTATAAAATAAGCAGCCCTGGCTTTTTTTTTCCTATTGATAATAAATGAAATTGGAAAAGAGCACAGTTGAATGAAAATTTAGTTAATCCTTAAACTGTATGGAACCAAAGTATAAAGATGACTAGAAGTCTCTAGCCTGTAGGAATCTGATTAAACAATACCAGAACCAGAACAGACAGATTCATATCATGTGCAGGATGTTTTTAAGGATCCCAATTATTTTAACTGCTTTCCTTTATGTGATCTAGGCCTCTCTCAATTCTTTATACAACATATTCAGGATGAATGGAATTAATTTTGAGAAGCAATATTATGAATACATTTATAACTATAAGGAAGATGAATGGCATTTCTTTACAAGGCTTATTTTTAGGCTGCATAACACTAAAGTTCGAATTGCTATTTATTTTTAAAATGCACTGGTACAGAATGAAATGTTTTATAATTATTTTTAAATACAAATTTTCCATTTGCATTTAACTCTGTTGAATTATTAATATCATCTACTGCACTTAATGTTCTTACTAAATTGCAAAAAATATTAAAAATTATATTCTTAAACATAGTTAAATTTTAATCACAGAGTTGTTAAAAAAACCCAGGAATTTAGTACCAAAAAGCATATTGTAAGACTATTCCTTATTCACAGCAATTATATTAAAAATAAAGAAAATCAGTATAATAGGTGACCACAGAAACATTATAATCAAAAAAGCAAGCTTTCAATCTATGCGACTTACTGTAAAAAGCCAAATCTATCTGTGACTTTGTAAACAAGGTAATCAGCATCTTCCCAAGGTTCAATCTCTGCACCTTCTCGTCCCTAAAATAAGGCACAAAAATAAGTGTTAATCAGTTTACAAAACTGTATAATTTTTTTAAATAAGGACAAAGAAATAAGAGCTATTTTTAACGTATTATTAAAAATAAGAGCTGGAAGTGAGGCATTACGAGCCTTAACTTTTTTCCCCCCTTTAAACCCAACTATTTTTGACAAGATAAACACTATTTCCTAGTTATGACTCTGGAAGGTGCTGTGTGTCAGCAGCAGCTGACGCGGAGCTGAGCCAGGATCAGGCCAGGGTTCCTTGGGGAAGCTGATGAGGAAAGAAGAGCGATGGGGATGAGAAGCTACTCAAGAAACTGCCGAACCTTACGGTTCTAGACCAAACATGTCTCAGAAAAAGAGATTTTTTTGGGGGGGGCCTTTTTATGCAAACTCCTCAGAGAAGCAGGCAGAGAAGCTCCTCGTCTATTTCTTTACTTCACAGCTATGCCAGCCTGAAACTACTCTTGCCAAGGTCAAAAATGACCTTCCAGCTGTCAGATCTGCTGGACGCTCTTCAAGCCTCATCTAATGGATCTCTGAAGCGTCCTTGTCAGGGTCGCTCACTCCCTCTTCCCAACTCCTGTGGCGTCGTACTCTCACAGTCTCCTCGTGCCCCGCCAACTCTTCTAATGGCTTTTTCATGGGTAACTCGTCATTGATGGTGTGCTCAGAGTTCGGTCCACAGTCCGCTGCTCTTCTTAATCTAGGTATCATTTACTCTTAGACTATTAACTAACACTGATCAGTGAAGAAACCCCAAATATAACTATCTATACCACTCCCTCAAATTTCAGACTCAAACTCCCAACTGTCTTGTGGACACCTCCATCTGTCTGCTTGTGTGTTCTCCTCTCAGTACACTGTGAGCATCCTGTAGGCAAGGCAAGGAGTGCTGCCACTCACTTCTACGAATCTCCAAGGCCCAGCACGATGCTGCCTGGGTTAACTGTGTGGGGAAAAAAATGCACACAAGCACTTGAATGAGAGTGACACTGGTTCTAAATGAGTGAAGCAGTTAAATAAGTCAACTAAGTTTTTCATGGACTACAATAAAACCTCATCACAATGAAGGAAACTGTTTCATGTTCCAAAAATGAACTCTGGGAACATAACTGCTGAGCACCACCTGTATGCCTCATGGAAGCAGGGCACAGTGCAGGTGGCTTGCTATGATTTAATCTCCTGTTATCCTCACAAATAATCAAAAGGAACAGATATATAATTACAAGCAAGTGATACAAATACAAAACATGACATTTATAAATCACTGCTAGGACTCATTATAAACCTCAGGAGGTAAGGTATAAGGAGGTATGTCAATTGTCAATAACTGTGATTTTCTATAATATCAAAAAACAGATTCCATACCAACATAAGGATAAAATGCTAAATGAAATTATACATACTTGTATAAATTCAAAATCTAAGATCCACGGTAAATTTATAATAGATGTAAATTATGAACGCAATGGATATGTAATTCCATATACTTAACTTAGTCAAGTATTTATTGAGTGCCTAGTGTAAATCAGGTAATGTCCTAGGCATTTAGGATACAAAAGTAAATCAAACAAAAGAAATTCCTGCCTAGAATGTAGAGTCTCGGCAGGTGTACAAAGTGTTGGGGTTCAGGGGCATTAAACGGGAGGTGGGAGGTCAGAGATCTCAGTAAGACAGTAGCACGTGGGTGAAGATCTGAAAGATGCGAGGCAATGAGGCATGAGGATATCTGGGACACAAGTGTCAGAGGCAGAGGCAACAGCCAGTGCAAAGGCCCTGAGGCAGGAGGAGCAAGCCTGGTGTGCTGGAGGAACAGCAATAGACTGAAGTGGAGAAAAGGTGGAAGAAAGGAGATGAAGTCAGAGAAGAAAGATGACTTCTATGTCCCCATGAAGTAAACAAACTGCTTCTGTAATTTAAGCTCTCCAAAAAGCAAATCCATTTCTATTTATATGGTTTTTCTAATAAAACTCACTCAAAGTGTAAATATGGATACTTACTCTGTCATATTTAGCAACTATTTCAGCTCGCTCCTGGGCAAGTTTGAGTGCTACATCCTGGTCTGAATCTGCGAAGAAGATATCAAATTTAGATGAACTATTATTGAAAGAATCATAAAGCTAATTAATTATGAAACTAAGACATAATAAAAATAAAAAATGAACACTGCCTAAAATGACAAATCAACAAAATCAAATAAAAGGATGAGTTAAGTATTTGTAACTACAACTTTGTAATAGCAATACATGTAATATTCAATAAAAAAGCAAGTTTATTAAGGCATAAACTTAGGACACGATAAATCTTATCCTTCATGAATCAATACTGGATCTATAATTTCATAGAAATTGATGTTAAGTAGAAACTGAAACTGAAAGTTCTAAGTTTTCAGATGAAGCCCACTTGGGTAGAAGAGACAAACATTCAAAAAGGCTTTTAAAAAGTAAAGAAACTTGGATCTCCACAAAATAAACTAGCACAATATACAATATTTATTTTACATGATACAAATATGTCTTTGTTTGGCCTTTTAGTTCTCTTTATCAACAGCCTCAACTGCTATAACAATCTCCTAACCGGTCTCTAGGACTCTGGTTTTATCATACATATGTGTGTGTACACACACACAGACACACACACACCCTCTTCATCCTTATTAACACTAGGAGACTTTCAAAAAGATAAATCTGACAACAAAAGTCTAGATCATAACATGAAATAGTATGAATATATACCATAAGCTTTTTAAAAAGATCAATAACCGACTATATAAAAGGCATCTCTTACGAAAAAAAACAAAGCATTCTAAGAGAAAATTAGGCAAAGGTTATGAGCAAGAAATTCCCAAAAGTAGCAACAGCAGTAACAACTGTAGCAACTATATTGCATTCTTATTAAGTGCCTGGTAGACAGTAAGATGCTGCCAGGCGGCAAATACTGTGCTAAGCACTTTACCCTGCCTTATCACATGACACTCTAAGGTAGGCATCATTATGAATCCTACACCAGTGATAAAAAAGAGGCTTAGAGATTTTAAGCAACTTGTCTGCAGGCATAAAGCTAGTAAACAGCAAAGACAGTTTTCAAATCCAGACAGTCTTGACTCCACAGCCCACAATTTTAATTACTACTTTATAAATATGATTACTAAAGACATGAAAAAGGACTTCCAGTTACAGATGGCAGATGGAACGCATGCTTTTACCTCCATTTCTCCTAAAACCCCACTAAAATGGCAACTATAGGGATTCTTGAAATCCCCTCCTCAAAGCAAATGGTGGTTCCTAAGGAGAGGTGGGGTTAAAACCAAGGGAGCTGAGTAAAGGAAGTCAAATCCCTGAAAGTTGAAGGGACATGCATGTGTTTAGCAGAGCCGGGTGCAGGGTGGAAAACCAAATCCTCATTCTCCAAAGCAGGAAACCAACAGAAATACCAAAAACAGAAGATGCACAAAGCAGCAATACTGGCATGTTACCTAGTGCAATGGAGGCACACAGGAAAAGAATCAGCCAGGGCAGTGGAGAGTGCTTACTTCTATGGAGCAGGCAGTGAAAAATATAGGAGTCTGCTATTTTCAAAATAAGTCTTACAGATTGCTGAATCTTTAAGCCAAATATAGATCTGATAAAAATAAAATCTAAAATGAAATCAAGACATAGAAAAAAAATCAACCTCATTAATAACTAAAGAAATACAAGTTTCAAAATATCACTTTGCACCTATTCAGACTAACCAAAAAATGCACTGATAATACTCAATGTTGACAACAATGTGAGGACATTGCAGTTCCTTACAATGAAGATAAACATATAAATATATAAAATCCTTCTGGAAAGTAATTTGATTAAGTATAAAAAAATCTGAAAACAGACATATCCTTAGCCAGCACTACCGCCTCTATAGATTTATGCCATGAGATCATCAAACAAGCACAGGGTTGTTTATAATAGCAAAAATAGCAGAGTGGGAAGTTGTAAATTTGTAAAAGCTTATTTGAAAAAAAAAATGTTTATGTCACTGCTTTTCCCAGTTAAACTACAAAATGTGAATATGCTTTCCTTTGGGGGATATGTGAATAACTAAACAGAGTGATTCAGTAAAATAAAAATACAGATGAGTTATTCAGATTTTCATCGTGAATTAATGCAAACAGAAGTCGGAGATAATCAACTCAATTACATACACATTCACTATCCTATTTTAGACTTACAAGCCTTTGTCAATTCCTTTTTCCCTCTTCTGTTGCCTAGTTTTAAAACATGATACACATCTACCAAAGCATAGGGAAAGCAAATTAACAGAAATTAAAATCAAGCTGGGTGTGGTGGCTCACACCTGTAATCCCATGGCAGGGAGAACACTTGAGGCCCGGAGTTTGAGACCAGCCTGGCCTACATGGCGAAACCTCGTCTCTACTAAAAATACAAAAATTAGCTGGGCATAGTGGTGCCTGCCTGTGGTCCCAGCTAGTTGGGAGGCTGAAGCAGGAGAATCGCCTGAACCCAGGAGGCAGAGGTTGCAGTGAGCTGGGATTGTGCCACTGCACTCCAGCCTGGGTGACAGAATGAGACCCTGTCTCAAAAAAAAAAAAAAAAAAATTAAATTCAAATTAAGAGAATCTGACTACTTATGAAACTCCATTTCTATTATCAGAACTGCAAAGCATTAATTTCTTTGGTAATTAGGCCAAATTCAATAGATGAATGCTTTACTGAAATGTCTTTTATACAAGCCTCTTATTCCTGCTACCAGTCCTAGGCGTCACAAGTATATTTCCAACATAACAATGAAAAGTTTAAAAGTGTAAAGGCAAGGGCTGGGGTTGGGAAGTAAAGACGCAACGTATCCCAAGAAAATGTCATTGTGGCAAACTATAAAATATAAGGCTTTACATAGATCACTGTCAGTCTATAGAGACTTCCAGAAATACTGGACTTCTTATTGGAATTGGATGAAATTGTATCCTGATTTTTTGGGAGAAGTATGATGTGCTTTAAAGTGATCAGAACAGTTAACTCTAAATCAAATAAATAAATTCTCAATCTTTAAACTCCCTTAGAAATTTCTTATCCCTGAGTTTCCCCACGGGGAGAAAATTTTATAATATTAATGTATGTATTCTAAAAGGAGAGTGAATTTAAAGCCAAACGCAGTTTAGAAAATATAGCCAAATCTGTTTCTTTGAGGAAACTAAATGAAAACGTTAATCTTAGCCAATATTCAGTTTAGAGACATTATTTTAAAATCTGCATTGCAAAGCACAGAGTAATAAGCAGTATTCTTAGGTAGGGTTTGCTATAATTATGGCTCATACTATCTGGTCTGAAGTTTATTAAGAATTACACTAGAATACTTCCTTTGGTTTCATTTTGATTACTTATTTAGAAATTCTGTTGAAAGAGCCAACAGTGTGCCCCAAAACAGTGACTGCAAACGATTATCAACAACTGTCTTGTGTCTGTGTGCAAATGTGAACAAAGTTCCGGGCACCTATAAACAACGGCAGCTGTGTTGGTTGGTACTTACGTCACATTATCAAATAAAAATTTAATCAGGACATTATCCCAACAATTCACACCCCATGTTTACGTTCTCCTTGCATGATAAATCCATAAATAAAAGTTTACTTGGAAAAATGTGGTTTGAAATACAATACCACTTGTTGCCAAAATATTACAGTAATTAAAGAGTAACGAGTGTTAAAATAATTGTAGCTGAAGAAAAAGTTCCTATTACTAAAAATAAAACCATGTGCAGAAATACATAGATCAACTACTTTATTTTTTTCTTTTTGAGATGGGGTCTCACTCTGTTGCCCCCGGAATACAATTGTATGATCTCAGCTCAATGCAACCTCCACCTCCCGGGTTCAAGCGATTCTCCTCCCTCAGCCTCTCAAGTAGCTGGAACTACAGGCGTCAGCCACCTACCTAGCTAATTTTTGTATTTTTAGTAGAGATGGGGTTTCACCATGTTGGCCAGGCTGGTCTCAAGCTCTTGACCTCAGGTGATCCACCCACCTCAGCCTCCCAAAGTGCTGAGATTACTGGAGTGAGCCACCGCACCTGGCTTAGATTAATGGCTTTAAATATCAGTCCTCTCATTTCACCAGGATGTTTGTTTAAAAAAAAAAAAAACTACATTATCCAAGCCAAATTAAATCAAATTATTTTTATGATTTTTATATCTAACGTAACAAAGTTTCAAAGTAAAAGAGGCATATTTTAGGCAATAAGGATCAGAAGATACTTGGATACTCAAATGTGCAGGAAATACTCAAGTATACAGGAAAATATCTCAGCACAATTTATGGGAGAAAATAACCACATTTTTTAAGAAGCATTTAAAAAATTCACAACTATACAATTCTAAGATGACCTCTTTTTCCATTTAATCTGCCAACAACTTTTAAGAATCCAGTATCCTCCTGAATTATATGCTTTAAAAGCAGGCATTGTATCTTAATGTCACTAAATTAACACCAAGTTGCAATGAAAAAATTCATACAAAGTTACTAAAGTTCATTTCCAATAAAACAAAATTTACAGCAGACCATTTTTCCTAGAGTACATTCTGACAGATGAATGTTAAAAATAAAAACAACATCAATTTTTAAAGTACTTTACCCTTTGTGAGATAATCAGTCTGGCCCTGGGAGTTAACAACAGCTTCAGTCCTCATAGAGTAACTTATCTATTCCAAGATTTCATTATTATTTTATAGTTCTCGAACACACCAAGAGTGCTGCTAGGTGGTACCTCACACATTCTGCAACTAACTAAAACAAAGAAAGGCAGAGGCAGCTCTACTTTAAACTATCTGTGAAACAAGAACAAGAAGGAAAAGTTTGAGATGCATTCTGTCTTCTTCTAAGGGAGAAAAAAAACCTGCTGTGGTTACACAGACTATATATTTTCAAACAAAGCTGATCATTGTTGAGGGTGAAAACACGCCTTTCAGGCTACATCCCAACTATGAGGCACACCAGCCTACACCAGCATTCCATCTGATAACAAACAGTGGCTTGAAACAAGCAGCTTCATAATGTGCCTTCATCTTGTGTCTCAA